ATCCTATCAATAGAATACAAAAAATAATTTCTATGGTTTTCCTCAAAGCAAAAATGTTATAGTTGACATCTATATTTGTTATTACACATGTCATTAAGAAACAGCAAAGTGTTATAAAATAGTCCTATTCATATTCATATCATCTTAGGTACACAGTCAACACAAAGATTAAAACAATAATAATAATAATAATAAAAAAAGAAAAAACAGCTACAGAAAAATACATAGCAGATTGAATACATGAGCAATAGAACAGCAGAATGTAGAGCTGATACAACTGCATTATACACAAAAATCTGTCTTTGATTTGAGTACCAACAATTACTAAATAAAAACCATTCACAATATCTAAAATAAAGCCAAAAACATCACTGAAATTCCATAACATCAGGGCCTTGCAATGGTTCAAAGCTGCAATGGCATTTTATCCTGTTCGTCAACAAAACACATCAAGAACAAACCAAACCTTAAGAAAACCAACTCATATCTACTTGTAGGCACACATGGGATTTGTCAAAATACAAATCGTAACTACAGACATTCAATACAATTAAAACCTGTATATGGGTTTACCTAAATTTGTGTATCTTGAAATACAATGTATGTGTGCGAGTGTGAGTGTGTGTGTTGGTGTGTTACTGTGTATTCGCTTGTTTCTGTGTGTGTGTGTGTGTGTGTGTGTGTGTGTGTGTGTGTGTGTGTGTGTGTGTGTGTGTGTGTGTGTGTGTGTGTGTGTGCGTGTGTGTTTGTGCGTGTGTGTGTGTTTGTGCGTGTGTGTGTGTTTGTGTGTGTGTGTGTTTGTGCGTGTGTGTGTGTTTGTGTGTGTGTGTGTGTTTGTGTGTGTTTGTGTGTGTATGTGTGTGTGTGTATGTGTGTGTGTTTGTGTGTGTACATGTGTGTGTGTGTGTGTGTGTGTGTACGTGTATTTGTGTGTGTATTTGTGTGTGTATGTATGTATGTATGTATGTGTGCATGTGAGACAGTTAGTGAGTATGTGTGTACATGTGTGTTTTATTTCTCTGGATACATATGTGCATGTACATGTGGACATGAGCATTTGTGACACACAGACACACTCACTCACACAAATATACTGACCAAAAAAAAAAGAAAAAAAAAAAAAAAAAAAATGCAAACATCCACATAGTCAGGGTATACATCACCATGTATATATATATATATATATATGCACACATATTATGTATAACAATAAGACATTCACATACACTAATCATCATAACAAAATATACTCAGCATTGGTATCTGCACTATTAAGTAAAAATTGCAGTTATTTGGGCATTAAAATAAAGAAAAAAAAGTCAGTGAAGGTACTTTCAAATGTAGCTCATACAAATATCTTGTGTTTCCTAATGTGATGCAACATTAAAACATACTTTGAATGTCAAATTACAGTTATAAAGTTAAACATTTAATTAATAAAATAAGATACACAGAATACATTACAAGAGGCAAACCCCTTTGATGCTAAGAATTTTTATTTCTTTCTTTCAATCAGAGCATAAGTACATAAATATATCAGTTTACATTAGTGGTAAAAATTTCCGGTCTTTTTTTTTTTTTTTTTTTCAAATTTCCTCAAAATCATTATTTTCACCAATATTTCTCATCATCATCTACAATTACTGAGGTTTTGCCTAAAGTCACAATTGTCAATAACAATTTCTTTAGTAATCATTAGGATTACTTCAACAAAATCAAATATATATATATGTATATATATATATATATATATATATATATATATATATATATATATCACCATACAATTTTGTTATTTTTCTTTGCTGTTTATTTTCATCACTTCTATCTTAGTTATCTTTATTTCTTATCATCACTGAAGCCATCATTATTGTACAATTTCCATCATCAGGAAGAAGAAAAAAATCATTATAGTTCATATGACAACTGTGATTCTAACTGACATCCTTGTGCTTGCTGTCGACCAATACTGGCATCATTGGCATTTTAACGCATCCAGTCTCGGGAATAAAAGAACTATTAACCATTCAACAATTATTTTTCTTTTTTATTCTATTCAAATCAGCTGACACTTAATACTTATCATCACATATTATTTGTATTTTGTATTTATAATTATTTTATTTTATTTCTTTTTAAATTGAAATCTGCAGGCTTTATTGACCATTTTATTTGATCTCTTTTCCCCCCTTAAAACAAACTTGGAAAATTGAAATGCTAAAAAAATTTGGGCAGAGTTGCTATTTTTCCTTAGCTGAGACCGGACTGAGTACCCAGGTTGTATCAGAACTAGAAAGTTTAATAAATAATAAAGAACAGTATTAATAATAATAATAAAAAATAATAAAAATAACAATACCAATGATAATAAGAATAACAATCATTATCATCACCACCATCATTAAAAAGTAGTAATTAAGTTGTTAATAATAATAACAATAACAATAATAGTAACAATAATAATAATGATAATTATTAGTTATTATTATCATTATCATCACAAAAATAATGATGATAATAATAACAACAAAAATAATAAAAATAATGATTATTATTACTATCATTACCATCATCATAATTATAATAACTAAATTGATGATGACAGCATTAATAATATTAATAATAACAATAACAACAATAACAGTAACAATAATAATAGATATAATAATTACAAATACAAAATTAATGGTAATGATAGCAATAACAGTAACAACTGTTATAATCATTATCATTATAACAAAACAATCTAATAATCATTACCACAATAATAATGATAATGATAATAATAATAAAATTAAGACTATTTTCCTTATCATGAAAATCAGAAACAGTCATTTCAATAAATATTATTATTGATAATATCCTTCTTATTGTAATAAACAAAACGGGAATTAAAAAGACCTACTGTGATGTCAAAAATAGCATGAACACCAGTAGTAAAATCATAGAGGTGTCATTTAACAAGAGAAATAGTTCCGACTGAGACAATGATTACTAAAAAAAATACAACAGCCATTGTAATGATGACAGAAATAATATGGGTGATTAAATAATGAAAATTATCTTCACACCAGAGATGATAATAAAAGAAGTAACTGTATGGTTAATGTTATTTTTCACTTTAACTGTTACTGTCCATATTAGTACCATTATAAATATAAATGATAATGATACTGAGGATATAAATAGGAAGAAGAGAATGAAGAAAAGACATCTGTAAAACTACAAGTGGTTTACAATAATATTAGATAACAATGATATTAATATCAGATAATGAAAAATAACAATAATGATGACAACACCAGACATTAAGTAAAAAGACTTCTCATTGACTCACTAGTACAATATTTTGCAAACCTTACAAAAAAAAAAGAAAAAAGTTTGAACTGTATGCATAGTTATCACAAACACAATTCACAAAGTACCTACAGCTTTTTCACTCTTTGTAGTGCTCAAACTAAACACTTTTGACAACTCTTCAAATTTGTGATTCTTACAAACCTGATCAACTCCTTTCTCCTTCATGATATTGAAAGCAGCTCTAGAGGACTTGGCCAGAAGGCAGAGGAAGTCCTCCAGAGCGCTCTTTAGGCCTGGGTCTAAACCACCCTCTCTGACTGATATGAGGGTAAGGATAATAGTTTGTGGCCACTCGCTTTCTATCAAGAAGTCGCACAGCCAAGGAATTGACGGGAGGAGAAGACTGAGGGTGTGCATTCCGAGGAACCACAAGTCCATCAGGCTTCCCCAGTGAGATTCGTATTTTGTGGAAACGACTAAAGTGGCATAATCATGACTCTCCTCGACATTATGGGCATCCCAGAGGAAACGCACAGTGGTCTGCACAAATCTAAAAATGGTGAAGTCAGTGCTTTTCACATTTGGATGTTGGTGCCTAAGTATCATTAACCCAAGAATTGAAAAGTTTCCACACAATCTGAGGTGCGGACTCTCTGAGGGAATGTCCGGCACTTTCATGAATATGAATTTAAGTAGGGAATAATAGAATGGATCTATCTTGACCTTTTCTGGTTCTTGCACCACAATATTCATAAAAATGTTACAGATTGTTTCCATGGCTTCTGTGGCTGAATTGACTATATCTGCTGGCATTTCTAACTCCTCTGTTTTGCTTTGAGGCCCAAATACACATCTTATGCTATTCCAGTGATAATGTAAATATTCAAATAAGAGATTTTCTAACTCAAGCTCCAATAAAAGAGATCTTGGTTTATCTTCTGCTGTGAGATGACACAAACCAGGTAAAAGGAACCTAAAGATATCGGGTAAATTTTCATCATCGTCTTTTGAACTAACTTTTGACTGGCTTTTCTTTTTGGATTTTAAGGCAGCCTTTTTATTGTTCCAATCAAAGTTATACCTACAAGTTTTGATTATAAATGGTATTGTTGCATAAACTTCCTCCTTATTAGCAGCCGTTTCTTCAGCTAACCAAGCACCAAGGACACGGATGGTGGCACACACAAAAAGGTGATTCCTCGGATTTTCAGAAAACGATTCGTCAAATGAAGCTTTTAGAAAGATCAGAACAGCATTGAAGGCCCCTTTCAAGGCAGCATACAACTGCTGTTTTTGTTTTTGTTCAAAATTTACTGCTCCATTTACCAAGAAGTTGATGGCTAATTCAAGAATTGTATAGCAAGCAGTTGTAGGGGAAGCTAAAGCAACTGCCTCTTTGAAAGTCTTATCTTCCAGGCTCATCCTGACTTCAATGCAAGCTAAATGAACCATCATTAAAAGCACCTGCCTCCCCTTGCCATCAGCTGGAGCCCCGTTATCCGCCTGCAAGATCCACGTGTGTGTGTGTGTGTGTGTGTGTGTGTGTGTGTGTGTGTGTGTGTGTGTGTGTGTGTGTGTGTGTGTGTGTGTGTGTGTGTGTGTGTGTGTGTGTGTGTGTGTGTGTGTGTGTGTGTGTGTGTGTGTGTGTGTGTGTGTGTGTGTGTGTGTGTGTGTGTGTGTGTGTGTGTGTGTGTGTGTGT